TTAATACAGCCATCACGGAAAACAGTATGGCGGTTCCTCAGAAAGTTAACTTTAGAATTACCACAGGATCTAGCAATCCCACTTCTAGGTTTATATCCAATGAGAAGAAAGTATGTCAAAGAGACATCTGCACTGCTGTGTTCGTTTCTACACTATTCACAGTAGCTAAGGTGTGTAATCAGCCAAGCCAATCAATCTGTTAACAGATGAAGAAAATGTGGTCTATGTACAAAACATAATATTGTTCAGGCATAAAAAGAAATGAAATCCTGCCATCTGTGGCAACATGGATGGAACTGGAGGACATCAAGAGAAACAAGAAAGGCAGATGCCTCATTATCTTACTCTTATGTAGAAGCTGAAAGAACTGATTTCATAGCAGTAGAGAGTAAAATAGTGCCCACCAGAGACCAGGAAGAGAGAGAGGGAAAGGAAAAGGGAAGAGAGGGAGGTCAGATAATGGGTACTAAAATGAAGTTAATTGGGACTGGAGAGCTGGCTCAGCAGCAGTTAAGGGTACTGGCTGATCTTGCAGAGGACCTAGGTTCAATTCTTAGCATCCACATGGCAACTAACAATCATCCCTAACTCCAATTCCACGGCATCCAGAGCCCTCTTCTGTTCTTTGCAGGTACTGCACGCATGTAGTGCACTTACATACATGTAGGCAAACACTCATACACATAAAATAAAAATAAATAAATAGAGTTAGGAGAAATAAGTTCTTGTGTTCTATTGCACATTCAGATGATTGTAGTTTACAACAAATTATTAAGTATTTTTTAATGAAGTAGAAGACAGGCGCTTAAAAGATCTAGATCCCAATATGAAGAAACGGTATGTACAATTATGCACCTAAAATTTGTATAAAAGAGTTTCTAGTTTGGATTGTCCTGCTGGAGCTAAGGCAGTGGGAGGGATGGGGTCTTGGGCTTTTATCAGTTTAAATCTTAGATTTGGGATGGTGAGATGGCTCAGCAGGTAAAGGCACTTGCTAACAAGCCTGATGACCTGAGTTCAATACCTGGGCCCCATATAGAGAAGAAAACAGACTCTTCCTGCCAGTTATCCTCTAACCTCTGCATATGTGGGTGGTGAGAATGGAGAAAGATGAGAATTTGAAAAAATTTGTTAAGGGAGTGGAGAGACAGTTCAGCAGTTGAGTGCTTACTGTTCTTGCAGAGGACCTGGGTTTGTTTCCCAGCACCCACATGGTGGCTAACAACCATCTGTAGCTCCGGTTCCAGGGAATCCAACTCTCTCTTCTGGCTCCTGCTACCAGGATAGGTCTCTGGGGCCAGCATTATGGCTCAGTGGGTAAAGGTTCTTGCTGCCAAGCCTGATGACCCACATGGTGGAAGGAAAGAACTGACTCCCACAAGTTGTCCTCTGATCTCCGCACATGCACACACACACACACACACACACACACACACACACAAATGTAATAAAAAATCTGAAATTTTACCTGAGGTAACTGGCTGGATCTATCGAGGCACAGAGACTGCTAAGAGAGCACAGTACAATATTCTAACCCTCTGAGGAATGTCTTCCTCCATTTAGAAAAATGGCCTGGCCTTGGCCTTGGCTTAGAGCTCTCTGAATGGGACATGTTCTGCAATCCTGCCTGGGTCTGTGCCTCTGTGCCAATTCCAATAGACTGGTATTGGCAGAATTGCCCACCAGAGCCATACATCCATCAACTGGTCACATGCTTCCAGGTGGGTGATCTGGGATATGGATGACCAAGGACTGGCTTGCTCAAAGGGCTGCTGTGGTTCTGGAGGACTGTGGGGGCATCTTGGGGGTTATATTCAGGGGCTAAGACCATTTAAAAATGAATTTTAGTGCAAATAGATGTCTCCTTTCGGAAGTCAATTTGGAAGTAACTACCCACAACCATTACAATATTCATATCCTCTGGCCCATTGTCTCACTGCTACGAAATTATCTTAAGAAAATAAACTTACATCCTAAGACACCTTCATTTTAGTATTGCTTATAACTACAAAAATTGAAACTATCACTTAAGTAAAGATTAAGGATAATTAAATACATTATAAAAATTCATCTGTTGGAATAAAATGCTTTGTGGAAACCAGGGAAACAGTATAGCTTTAGACCATGTAAAAATAATATGCAGGTTACATACATGATTTTGAAAAGTAATACATGAAAATTTAGAAATACTAATGAATATATCACTATAAACAGACTTCTGAGTGGTGGGATTATGGTGGTTTTTAAATGCTTTTCTGTGTAGTTCCAAGTTTTCCATAATGAATACACATATCACTTGTATTCAGTAAAATAATGTAATTTTAAAAATTGTTCCACTCTTAACACTGGCTTAACCACTCCTAAGAAATAACTAAACGTGTTCAGTGTGACTCCTACCAATTCTGAAATTAGAATTAATATAGAACTTGGGAATTAGAAGAAGTTGTGATTGGTGGGGCAGATGTTGGGGCCTTGATGTTTTGCAGCCTAATGCTGGGGGCAGAAGTAGAAGTGGAAAAAGGAGCTAAACCAAGTTCTCTGTGGGTGAGGCCACTTCCCATCAGTGGGTAAAGCTACTTCCTGTCTAGAAGGAAAGTCTACATGTTTGATCCTCTGCTGTTTCCCTCTCACATGGGGCTACAGACAGTGTGGAAAAAACGTAATAGCCTTAGGCAGGCATGCCTTTAATCCTAGCACTTGAGAGGTAGAGGCAGATGGATATCTCTGAGTTTCAGGCAAGCTGGGCCCACAGTGAAACCTTGTCTCAAACAAACGAACGAACGAACGAACAAACAAACTTACTAAACTTGTATATTGAGGAATGAAGTCAACAGGTACCCCAAGAGTTGCTGAAAGAAGCAGGCTCACAGAAGCACAGGGTCACTCTGTATTTGGTGTAATTTCTTCCCAACAAGCTGTGTTTTCAGGTCCCACACCAAACTGTGCTTAATCAGGTTCAAATTACCAAAAAATGCCTGAGGTAACAAACTTCATAAAGAGAGGTTAATTTGCCCCACAGTTCTTTTGAGTTCAAGGTCATGGTGCCTTTGTCAGCTCAGTTTTGGTGATATCAGGGGATGGCAGCACATCATGGTCAGAGGCTGTGTCAGAGGGACGAGGCAGCCACATCTTGAGGTGGGAAGCAGAGAGAGGATGTGTGGAGTCCAATAATCCTTTTGGAAGTCACACTCTAATGACCTAAGGACCTCTCCCTCAACACCATTTGGTAAAGGTCCACAACTCCTCCCAAGCTTATGGACCCTTCATGGACACACTGTCCAGACCATAGCACGAACCAGTGGTGGCCCCATGGTGACAAGGCGGACCTACTGTCCCTGCTCAGCCTCTCACCCAAGGTTTGCCCCATCTGTGGAAACTGAGTCAAAACAGTGATATTTGTATTACACGGGTAATTCCCATGGTTGTCCCATTGAAAAGGGATGTTCTTTTCAGGGAACATACATCTCCACCTGGAGAACAGCCACACTGAGACTGTCTTGACTGAATTCACCATGGACTCTCTCTGCCCGATTCTGGTGGCTGGAATTTATTCCTCAAACACAGATAGTGGCTATTCTTCATGTTTTACAGAGTGTACATGAAAATCGCCAAGATTAGTCTAAAAAGAATTAACTGTCCCACTATGAGTCTATAAATAAATAAATAATGTAATAAACACTGAGTCATACCCCATAGATCAGTCAGGTTAGCAAGAACTGAGGAGAGAGGCCCACATATTTTGTAAAGATCTTCTGAAGACAGCAGCATGGGAGGTCTTCCTGAAGTCTCAGTGCTCACCAATGGGGACTTTTTCATTTGAAAAATCACTTTTTTTCTGAAACACCCAAGTCAGCAAATTCAATCCGTGAACCAATATAGTATCCATAAGATCATGCATCTCCTGTGGTGGGGGTTTGGCTGCCTTTCCAGGGAAACGCTCTAGAAGGGTCAGTGGGAAACATCCATAGGACAGCGGTGCAAAGATTGTAAAAGAATGGATATGATTCAAATTAAGAGACAGAGATCATGGAACTATAAGGATGCTGTACAGAATTACTATGCCCTAAATTTTTCAAATAATTTATTCCTTTTTTCCCTAACAGTCTGTGGATTTATAAAATACATAGTCATCTTTGTTAGGACAAGTGGTGCTGATAATATTGGCCTGCTGTATCATTATTTTATAGATAAATCTAGAAGTGATTTCTTGGTTTTGTTGGCTCCTGTTAGCTGGCCAAACAAAGTTTCAGGTATTAGGGTTAGGGAGATGGCTCAGTGGGTAAAGTACTTGCTGCATAAGCATGTGGACCTGAGTTCTGATCTCCTCCTCCCATGTAAATGTCAGGTGTGTGCCTGTAACGTCAGATTTGCAGAGTGGAGACAGGAAGATCCTGGAGTCTTGACGACCAGTCAAGCCTAGCCAAAATGGTGGGTTCCAGGTTCCTGTGAGACTCTGTTTTTAAAAAATGAGGCAGAGACTGAGGAAGACCCCATATCGGCCTCTTGCTGCCACACGTGCACACACAGGTGAGCACACCTGTACACTGATGTGCTTCTGTTTCTCTCTCTGTATCTCTCTGTATCTCTCTGTATCTCTCTCTCTCTCTCTCTCTCACACACACACACAGCTTCAGTTATAGCCCATATATTCATTCTAGTACCCTACTAGTTTGTGCTCTGAAGGAATTGATAATAATTTAGATTTGGTTGGGACCAGCTTGAAGAAGACAAGAATTGGAAGGTTGGGGAGCTACTGAGCTTCACTAATTGAAGGTTCAGTAGTTTAATTTGCTAGTTACTATATTATGAATAGTACACATCTCTTCAATTGGAATACCTACCTCTTAAGGGCAGGAATTACTTCTTACACCTCATTGTAGCTCACATACTAAGCATACACAGAACCTCCTGGCATGTGCCCAATAATTACCTGTAGAAAATTGTATTGCTGATAACACATTTCACAGGTGCTGAGGAATTAATACACCAAACAATGACCACCAAACTCTGGTCTTTCTCGCTCATAGAACACCATAATTTTAAGAGTGCACTGCATTTATTTAACCCCACAAATTATAAAAATTTAACAGATTTTTAAAGTTTTGTATTCTTAAAGTGCTCTAAATGAGATTTATTTTTAGCAAGTGGAAATAATGTTCTCTAAAAGACATTTAATTTTTAGTGGAAAATAATATTACCTAAAGCATTATGTGCATGTTTGAATAACAATTTGTGCATTTTCTTCAAGAAATGGAGTTTTTATAAAAAATACATGTGTAGCACTGAGTGCCAAAATGATGGGTCTGTGTGACAGGAATCCAAAATGAGATTTGCTGTTAGATGTGTGCTTATGGTGTCTTGATGACCTTGAGTTGGGGAGGGGGGCTTGTTGGGTCCTCAGTACTCAAAAAGGTGAATTCCCTTGCTGTGTGACAGCTCAAGGTTAGTGGTCAGGGCAACCATTCAGGCTGACAGACCCCTGAACTTCCATGGCTTCCGTGACAGGGACAGTGATGTGGTTGACTTGAATATTTTTCAGACAGCCAAAGAATGATTTCCATACAGGGAGTGTCAGCATCTTCAAGTTGGCTGAAAGAGAAAAGGAAGAGGAGCTCAGTGGATAGCTCACACCCGGGATTTTAAGGGTCTTATTAAAAAGAGCCAAAGGGACCCCTTGGCCTGGCCCACCAGGTCATGTCCTGTCATTCTGCCTGCTGTGATAAATCAGCAACAAGGCAGCTCTTCAGTCTCTAGAGAAGAAACTTCCACAGCCCAAATCAATAGATAATAACTCTCAACTCTTCTGTCTTTTACGGGTCATGAAAGACCATAAAACGAACAGCCAGACTACTTGGAGGGACATAAACTAAAGACAAATAAAAAGACTCTTTTTGCCAGGCAAAATTCCTGTCTTGAATTTGATTCTACCTCACTCTTTCCTCAATCCTCCCACTTGGGTCCCAAAAAGCCTAACAACTCAATAGTCAGCTCAATGCCTGGCCAAGAGAAGCTGTTAGTTTGTAGCTATTTTCTTGATTACTTGCTCATACAGGCTTCTGGGTTGGTGGAACCTCTTAAGAGAGACTTGTAAATGGCAGGCTTGGGACTGGGGAAAGCAATAGCCATGTGGCCTTCACTGTCCTGGAGATATGGACATTGCTAACAATTGTGTTTCTCCAGATTCTTGGGCAAAGGGCCTTGCCACCCTCACTGCCCAGCCAAGGGCTACCCTGCTCATTATCATGGGCTGTGGCACTATCAATGTTGGGTTAAGAAGAAAATGTTAAGAGATGCTGTGGGGCAACACACGTGCACGAGTTAGGACCAGAGTTACCTGGGACACCGCCAATGTGTAGTGACCCTGGGGTGCTGTTAGCTGGGAAGGAGAACTGTCCGGCTGTGTAACTGTTGTCACTGTCCAGTTCCAGGTGTAAGATGTGCTGTTTGATAGAGACTAAAAGGAAGGAAACTGGTTAGAAGAGCCATCCACTGTCTAAGGGCCATACTATTGAGTCACTACTGTCTTCATTTGAACTCATTCCCATTGGACCCTTGCGGGGATGGTTTGTAGGCACTTGGCCAGCCTTGGTATAAAATCAAGTCACTTCCAAACACCAGACAGAGTTAGGTGGGTCCATCGACATTATAAAACTGAATCCTGAAAATGAATCTGTGGAGTTTGGGAAAAAGCTCAGTCAAGTGTTTGCCTGGCAAGTGTGAGAACCCGAGTTCAATGCCCCATAACCTGCCTAAAAAATGAAAAAAGGTAATGTGATAGTGGGTGCTTATAATCTGAGGCTGGGGGAATCAAAGACAGGAAGATCCCTGGGGCCCACTGAAGGAGAACTTCGTCCCTGACCATTCTTAACGGGGTAAAGTGCAGACATTTCTTGACCTCTTCCTTCCTGTTCTCCTTCAGCCCACTGACAAACCAGTCTAGACTACTTAGGAAGCTCTAGGCTAGTAAGACCTTGTTATCAAAAAACGAGGTGGGTGACAGCTGAGGGGTGACAGCTGAGGGTGACAGCTGAGGTTGGCCTCTGGTCTTCACACCTGTGTGTGAGTGTGCAATGAACACACACACACACACACACACACACACACAGTAAATCTACAAAGACAGTATCATTCATTTCCAAGTGAGAGATTGTGTGTCACTCACTGAGGGCTGACCAGGGGCAGCAATGGAGAGCTGGGATTCAAGGTCTGGTCTCTTATCTCCGGAAGCCCCGTTCACTGCATATGAGATCAGCTATTTCTTTTTTTTCTTTCAGAAAGCCATTGGCTTCTGAAAACTGATGCCGGGGACAGGCAATATAAACTTTGACCCTTCTCACAAAACTTCTCTCATCTTAACAATTGTAGCTAACTGTAATGTAGTTAGCTTTAAAATTAGCTGAGAAAAGACAGCTTTTTATACTGAGGAACATCCCAGGACACTAACTTTACATAACAACACAAACGACAGAATGTATGAACTCCAGTGGGGGGGTGCTATGGGAGGGTGCTGGGGGGGGAAAGAAAGGGGTGTAAAGATGATTTTATGTATGAAATACATAAAAATTCAATAATTTTTTAAAATTACCAAGTTCCCTCCACCCAAAAGGCACTTTTAGCCAATACAGACTCACATATGTCTACACTTGATCAAAAATCCATAGGCTCTCTTCTCTTCTCTCACCTCTTTTTTAAGACAGGGTCTCATGTATCCCAGGCTGGCCTCAAACTCATTGTGCAGCTTGAATGGCCTTGAATTTGTAATCTTCTTGCTTTTATCTCCCTAGTGCTATGATTCCAAGTGTCTGCTACCATGCCTGGTTTATGCTGTGTTAGCAGTTGAACCCAAGGCCTCATACAGGCTAGGCAACCACTCTTACCAACTGAGCTACATCTCTAAACTAACACCTGAAAGTTATCACTAAAATAGCAGATTATGCAGTGTTATGTTTGCTATCCACCATTGCTGTCCAAATAGTTTGCATCAATGTTCAATGACTATTGAAAAACATAACAGTGATCCTGAAAAATCCAATAGTAAAAGTGCACTTCATACAAACTTGCCCATTTATTTCTCACAGCCCCACACTGTTTTTTTCTCCCTTTTGCAAATAAGGAAACTAAAGGTAAAGAGTACTTAACCAACCTGCCCAAGGTCACCAGAGTAAGGAATGGGACTGAAATTGAGCTTCCCTTTAAAAAACGTAATGTGTGTGTGTGTGTGTGTGTGTGTGTGTGTGTGTGTGTGTGTGTGTATACTATGTGAGTGCAATGCCTAGGGAGGCCAGAAGAGGGCAATGGATCCCCTGGAGCTGGCGTTGCAGGCAGTTGTGAGCATCCCAATGTAGGTGCTGGGAAGCAAACATGGGTTCTTTGGAAGAGTAAGAGGTGCTCTTACTGAGCCAGCCCCAGAAATTTGACATCTCTTGTTTCTGAGTTCAGAGCCAAAACCTAAATTTCAGTATTATACTACCTTAAACACGAAAACAGCTTATCAGTTTGGGGGGCTGGACTAAAGAAAATCCCCTCATAAACCTCCCCAAAGCCCTAGCTCAGCACATTATGGACAACTGGAGGCAGTAGCCATGGCCTATCTAGGCACAGCTGTGATGGAGCATAGATAAGGACACCAGGAGCATCGACCCAGGTTGGGCACCAGGAGTTGGTAGACTGCGACTGCCTTTGGGATATTCAAATATAGATGAAAGAAGACTATTTCTGTGCGAGTACCAAAGATTACCAATACCATACCTGCCACTGAGTGCCACTGTCCATCGCACAGAGACTGTTTTGGTGTGATTGATGTCAAGGTCCCACCAGCCTCACCGTCCACAGAAGCTGTGACCTGGAATACACATGCACTTTGGTATTTCCTTCTGAAAGGCAAGTGGTGCCACCTTTCCCTGACCACTCTCTTCCCACACCTGGCCACACAGACAGCCTGTGAGCAAGTGAGATGCAGGTGCCCTGATTCATGCATCAGGTGATTACACAAGGCCCAAAGTTCTTGAAAAATTCTCCCCTCTCTTTTCCAGGCAAGCAAGCTACAATCCCAGGCCCAGCCTGGACCTGCTGGTGATAGCAATAGGCTTTCCTAACCACATGTGCCTCTGCCCTCAGAGGTTAGAGATGAGCATCAATGGCTCTCCTCAGCAATCAGTATGCAGCGGTGACTGTTGACAAAGACACAGGAAATTTGGAAGTCAAAATGCTGGCAGAGGCCCACACCCTGCCACAAGGCCAACCAATTATAATAATCCTGTAAGTGCATGACACATCACAGGGCTCTCATCCAAGACATTAAGCTCCAGATTGTATTTGACAGGACATGTGTTAGGTGTCAGAATCCCACGTTCCTACTCTCCAGGTCAGGGACCCCTCCAGGATCTTCCAAGGGTTGAATTAAGGTGAATGAAATGAAAGTGCTAAAATAAGTGTATTTATAAATAATTTGCATCCAATTTGCCCACAGCTACATGGGGCAGATTGATTACAGGCAAGTTTTGAGCTAAACAATGTCACTGCAGTTACAAAAGTTACCAAGTCTTGATTTTTTTCTTTCTTGGCATTTGCCACCATCACTGGAGACCCTCCCCAAACCCTCCCCTGAGAAGACGGTCTCACGTCCATCACCCAGGTGGGTAGTTGCTTCTTTCTCTGTATGACCAGAGACTTGCAGACTTCTGTCTACAACGTCAGTGTGAAGATCTATGGTTCATGGTTTCTGGGGAAAGGAGTGTCATTTTCTTTAGAGGAATAGCCACTGCTTGGGTTGTCCATGTTCTTGTAAATAACCCCTCACCCATGCAAGCAAGCCAAATTAATTGAGTCTCCAAAACCAAAATGACAAGAACGAGGGGGTACTGGTTGATAAAAGAGTTCAACAGGGGTGGGAGGGGGGCAAGAAAGGATAATGGGGGCAAATAGGAGCAAATCATATTATATGCATATATAACACTATCATAAGGAAACCCATTATTATGCATAATTAATATGTGCCAATTAAAACTGTAAAGTGTCCCGGGGCTGGGGGCTAGGGGTGCAGCACTGAAACAGATCGCTTGCATAGCATGTGAGAGGCACTGGGTTTGATTCCTTGAAGTGTAAAACAAAGTATTCTAGGAGTTTGAACTATTTTCTTTTCTTCTGGGATATTCCTCCCCTACATTTAATAAATTATGGGAAGATATAAATGAATAAAACAGTATAATATCCCTCTTTGACTCAAGCCTTAGCTATGAGATGATTTCTGGAATAATTTGGTCTTAGGGAGATATAACCAAATGGTTGAAAATAGGATATTAACTCGGGCCTGTGAATGATGGGGAAGGAGAGGCAGTGGAAGGAATGATCCAGAAAAGGAAGGAGAGATGGTGTGGGATCCAGCCTCCAACTTGGCTAAGAAACCAGACAGAGCACTGGAGCTGCAGGGAGAGAACAGAGGATCCAGAATGGATTCCATTGACACTGGCCCCTGGCATGGGTATGATCTGGTGTAGTCAGCTGTGGAAGCATGTCCCATGAATTCTAGCTGCACGCTTCTGAATAACAACAGGAGAGATGAGAGTGAAGGGAAGGAGGGAAAAATCAACATGGATGGGTGCATGGCAGTTCCTCTAATCTTGACAAAAGCCCTAGGATATGAGAATCATCCATATTTGCCTGTAGTCACACCACCCTGAATGCACCCAAGTTCATCTGGTCTCAGAAGCTAAGCAGGGTCAGCTCTAGTCAGTACCTGGATGGTAGAATTTTTGCCACATTTTATAGAACTGAAACTGAGTCTGGAGGAGTTTGAGTTGGCTTATCTGGGGCCCTAAAGCTAAGCGGTGTAGGTAGAATCCAGCCCAACTTGTTTGTGATTTCACAATTGCAAAGATGAAGAAGAGAAAAGACGATGAGAACATGACTTGCTAATAAAAAGAGGAAAGTTAGTCCTTAAATCAAGTCTCTTAAATACAATATTAGATTCTACCATGTATTTATTAAGTCTGTTAGTAGAATTTGACTCCCTCTCCCCTCCTATGTCATCGGTGTCCTCCCTCTGCCCGTCCATGTCATCAGCCTGCTACACACCTTTCCTGACTCCATATAAACGCTCAAGTGTTGTCCAGGTTGACTTCCAATATGTATTAAGATTCCAGTGAGACTTCTCGGACGAATGCTGAAAATGAGCTTAAACTCTGGCCCCAGTGACACAGAATTGGCTTTCAAAAGACAGAAAAAAAATCCGTTAAAACATCAGAATAATTAAAAAAAGAGAGAGAGAGAGAGAGATGCACACAGAAGACTACAACTGGCCAAAGTGTAGAGAATAAGAAACTACAGCATATGTGTCCTGGACAGGATATTCCTATAGCAAACCTCACTCACCCAGGGTTCAGGGGCCATTGTGGAAGATGGAGAAACTACAGCATATGTGTCCTGGACAGGATATTCCTATAGCAAACCTCACTCACCCAGGGTTCAGGGGCCATTGTGGAAGATGGAGAAACTACAGCATATGTGTCCTGGACAGGATATTCCTATAGCAAACCTCACTCACCCAGGGTTCAGGGGCCATTGTGGAAGATGGAGAAACTACAGCATATGTGTCCTGGACAGGATTCCTATAGCAAACCTCACCCACCCAGGGCTCAGGGGCCACTGTGGAAGATGGAGTGGAAAGATTGTAAGAGCCAGGGTTGGCCCGTGACCATAAGGAAACAGAGTCTTCCAGGCCTCGGGGGCCTTGCTCATATGAACCTACAGCAATAGTGCCACCATGCACAAGACCTGTGCAAACCCAGTTAGATTAAAAACCCAGCATAGAACTGGGGAAATGGGCAGCAGGACTCAACCTTAGCCAAGGAACTATTGGAAACTGCTGATTGCTGCTGGGTGAGGAAGAGCTGATCTTCTTTAAAGGAGGGACTCTAGATAGGCTGACTAGACTCCAGTGGATGAACTTGCACCGAGGGACATCTGGGCACACAAACTTGACTCAATAGGCCTTAACATATATGACAGAATGCATGAAATCCAGTGGGGGTCTCTATATGGAGTGTGGATGGGGGAGGGGGTCTAAATGTGATTAAGATGGATTGTATTAAATGCACAAAAACTCTATAAAAATATACAATGAGGAAAAAAAAGAGGATTGAAGCTCTTTAGACTTAAAGATGTGAACTCTACCAACCAACTGCTCCTTACCCAGGACCACATGACCTCCTCCTTGGGAGAAATAAAGGCCTCTCTCCAAAGAGCTTCCTGAGCAGGGGGACACCCCAAAGCTTGCAGAGGGGGAATCCAAGGGCTTTAAATCCAACTGGAAGTTCTTCAGACATCCCACAAAGCTGTGTTTGGGGAGGCTCTGTAACAAAGCAAAGAAGGCATTTTATAACTTCCAGAGGTTGCCAAGGGGAAGGGTAGTTTGCCAGAGTCATTTTTCCTGCTTCAGGGGAGCTCGAATGTTCCCTTTGATTTCTCGCAGCACTGTGAAGAAAACACTAAAGACCAGAGGTTTGGTGGGTGACTGAAGTTTGAAGGTGTCATCTAACCAAATGGCATGTGGGCAGGTGGGGTAGCCTGTGCTCAAAAAAGAACAAAGAGGATCAACCTGCCCCTGGTCCATGAAGACTGTGCTGCAACAGGGGGAAATTCCACCTGACAGTCTGCAGAGCTCACCACTCTCTGCAGGTGTGAAGCACCTCTTACAGCTTCCTGAGCCAGCATGACCGCCTAATGCCAGGCAGCTGATTGAAAAATGAGGCTGAAATGTTCCCAGAATAGTAAAGTGCAAAATGCCTCCTTACATTGTTAGGTTTGGTGTACTACCAACAAATCGTGAATGTTGTGGAATCAAAAGATGCCACACACCTCATCCATGCCCGAGGGGAGGCCCTTGCCTGCCTGAGGCTGGGTAGGAACAAGGTTGCCAATTGGGACCCAGGTTTCTGAGGACTTGTAATACTTTGTAATATATCAGATATTCACTCTGTGTAAGCTTATTTTTCTGGGGAAAAAGACCGTTAACTCATTCACAAAATTCTCAAAACACTCCTAAAACTCTCAAAAAAAA